CAGAGTGGAATTCTCAGGACTAGAGTTTATGTGAGGCAACAACAAAATGCACTGTGCCATTCTCTTAGGCAACAAAGGTAATTTGTTATGCAACATAATGAGGACTTGTGTGTGACAGACGGCAGCAGCTCTCGGTTACAGGGCATTGGCATCAACAAGCACATGAAGTGCATGGGTCAAAGGGAATGACTGTACATGGCAGAGAATTCAAAAGCTTTGTCATTGGTTTGCTTTTTCCAACTTAAAAAAAAAAAAAAAAGACAGAATAAACAGATAACTGGGCCTCATCCTGAAGTCTTTTGTGGTCTGGGTGGTGTCTTTGTTGCTTCCAGGGTTGGTCTGTGTGTTACAATTGACTATCACTTTATGGGCCACAAGGTCAGGGCTCACAAGTGTCACGTGCTGTATGTGGCTCTGACCCATTTTGCAGCTCTTCTGCCCACAGAATGATGAGAGAAAACAGTACAGGGGGAGAAATGTATTAGTGTTTACCAATGCCCAGAAGTCCATGATGTCTAGACCCACATGCTCCACTGCTTCTGCTGGCACCTGTACTCTTAAAAGCCAGTTATCCTTCCTTTAAGGAGGCCAAGGTCATTCACCTGTTTTGCAGATAACCTGCTTGCAAGTGGGCTGCATGCAGAACAGAGAATAAAACCATGGCTTTTAAAGCAGGGAGGCTCACCATTTGCTCAAAACAAATCTGCATGTTGGTGTGGTTGGGTATCTTGTTTGTGATGACTTAGGCTGCTCGCTGCCTCCAAAGCTGGGGTTAGACCCAAAGATCCTGTTTGCTGACATTCCAGTGCTGTCTCAGCAAATGCTTGTGTAACTCATTGCCAGGTATGTGTTCACATGGCCCACACTGAAAGTTTCCCTTGTTGTTTGGCTGGAAGTGAGCATCTGCAAGAAACCTCTTCCTGAAGTGATGAGGGAGAGTTTGATTCATGCTTTGCTGATTAATTTATGGAGGAGAAATGAGAAATGAAGGCTGTCTCATGCTGCATGTATAGTGAGGAACTATACAAAGCTGTATATATGAGGAACTATATAAAGCTGTTGGTAGCTCTCATCTTGGTGGTCTGTGAGACTGGTTCTGTCTTCCCAGTGCACCTATCACATTGGATTTTATATGTGCAGTATTCTGGAATAGTCATAGTCACGCAAATGATTTTATTCCATGACTGCTATGTTCATCTGGAAGTAACATTTGTTTTTTCAGCCAAGCCATAGTCAAAACTGGTTGGCTAGACCACATCAGGGGAAGTTGCTCCTGCAGAAAAGTTGAAGACTTTCATTTCCTTTTGTAGTGTGCCTTAAGCATCGTTGTCTGTGGCAGGATGTTGGAATTCTCCTGACTGTGCCATTGACTCAGCAAGGGCCTGATCTGTTTACCTGTGCTGAGTCTAATGACTGCTTAGCACAGTTATGATAGCAGAACAGTTAAAAGCAAACCACAGAGTTAGCTGAGAGCTTGGGTAAGCCACGTCACTTCTCAGTGACTTGAGTTACTTGGCAGCACTGTCACAGTGAGCTTACTTTCCAGTGCTTGGGGATTTAACTGAACAGGCTGGGACTGCTGAAGAACCCTCTGTAAAACAGAAACAGAAACAAACAAACAAACAAAAACTTAAGGTTAATTTAATTACCACTCTAAGTAATTAACTAAAGCCCAGCCAAATGAATATTACATCATAAGAAGCAATCAAATTCCAGACTGTGAGGATAAGAAGCAAACAACCCAACCCCGCCTTTTATGAGGAAGATGCTATCTGAGATTCACATAGATACTGTGCACGTAATTAAAGCTATCCTTTATGTGCAGTGCTGCTATTACAGCCCTTGCTATTCTGTAGCAGTTGGTAGACCTTATAATGAACAAGTAGAAAAATATTTCAGACATTACAGTGACTTTACAGATGGTGACTGTTAAAGTAAACCCCACAGCTGTCCTCCCTCTTTTGCAGGAGGAAGAAAACACCTTGTCAGCATCTCTCAGGATGAGTGCCATTTTACATCAAGAAACTGTTGACGATGAAGCAGCCCAGCCAGGTGCCACACGGGGGAAGCTCACAGGTGAGTAAACTGGCTCTTTGCTAGTGCCAGTGCAGTGTTTTCAAGTTCACGGTGCTGATTGGCTGAGCTGTGGGGTCGAGAAGAGGTGAGGCTGCACTCAGTGGCCCCATGCGAGCTGCCCTCCCAGAGGTGCTGCTCTTGGCTGTGCAGCACGGCACAATTGTGCAGCAGTCGGCAATCCTGGGTCGGACGTGCCGGAGGGCTGCCTTTCTGCTTGAATGCAGCTACATGCAGATGTTCTGCTGCTTGGTTCCTCTGCAGCCTTGCTGTCAGGACTGCTTCAAGGTCAACATTGTTAATGGATGGGGCTGTGAGTGCAAGGCTTCCTCTCAGCCTGCAATGTCCGTAGTACGGGGATGGTTATTTATGACTTGCTTGTGCAGTACCTAGTTCTATGAAATGTTACTTACCTCAGCACTTACGACCTGCGCAGGAGACAAGGAGTTCATATGCCTCTGGTGCATCTGTCAGCCCTGCTGCCTGACTCCCAAGGTCCCTGAGTGGGCAGCTGAGCTACCTTAGCCTTGGGGCTCACACCCCAGATTCTGCTCTGTGAGAGCAGCTGGAGCAACTGATAGTGGAGATTGAGGCCAGCTTCTAGGGCTTCCTTCAGCCAGCACCAGAAGTGCTTCTGTCAAACTTGCCCATGCCCAAGGGCTTTATGATTGCACCTCTTTCTCTTTGATTTGTTATTCCTCCCTGTCCTGTGTCTGTATCAGAGGATGGCTCCCCACTTTCTCAGCTGCCCATGCCCTGTTCAGTGCAGTTGTATATTCTCTTTCCAGTGCTACTCAAGTCAGAAATAGCCAGATGAAGAAACACCTCTTTAATGTTCAGCTGATAAAACATTGCATGTAGAACTGCACGGAACTTGTACCATTTCCAACAGCATCTTGCTAGGATATGAATGTGCTCAAAACCCAATTTAAGAACAATTTCCACATGTGAGGACTGAGATTTGGTATGGCTACAGAAGGACTTGTGGAGTCTTGTGCTTTAGGTCTTGGCTTTGCAGTCTTTCAGCTTCTGCGTTAGGGCCTCGTCTGGGTCAGCATGAAACAACTGACGTTTGCAGGAGGCTTTGATCTTTGTGTGCATGAAAATAAATCAGGATGTGTCCATAGCACTTGACTTTAATGGATAAAACTCATAAACTTGTAGATCCTCCCTTAATCTGCTTGCAACATCTACAGAAATCGACTGGAAATACCTATTGACAGTATCTCCTCCAGGGCTGGCTTCAGGAGCCCAGAGCTGCCTTTCCTTCAGCCAATAACAATATGGTAACAATGTGTTTAATAGCGTTACACAATTACAATTGGGCAAGCGTGGACAAGCTCGAAATGCGGAACAGCACCGAGGCAGTATCTTGTGGGCTTCGCAGGAACATTCTCCCCTCTTAACAGAAAGTATGTAAATGGCTCCCGGATCCTTTGCTTGCTCAGATAATGAAGCAAGACCTCCTGTTTCAGCAAGCCGTGTTCCGGGAAAATTGCCCTCCTCGAGGTGTCTGATGAGAGTGAAAAAAAGAGCAAAGAGAATAAAGGCAGCGCTAATAGTGATGGGAACACAAAGGATGCGCGGAAGTGAGGAGGGAGAGGCTAGGGCTGTCAGGATCTGAAGAATGCTAACTGCGCTGATAAGTGATGGTGAGGCAAGAGGAAACTGCGGTGGGCAGGGCAGGCAGCTGCCCGCAGCCCGGAACACTCGGCTGGGCCAGGGGACATTCCAGGATTTCTTTACAGCAACGGTAAAAAGAAGCTGAGTGAGTTGGGCCATCGGTACCTTCAGTGCTGGCCGTTCTCTGGCCGTGATGTGGCACACGAGCTCCCTTGGTGCAGGTTAATCGTTTTGCTTCATACCGGTGTCAGAAGGAAGCAGCTTCCTTACCAAGCTTAACCTACAGATACCATAAAAACTGCTGCAGCAATGCTGCCAAAAGGCAGTCAGGATGAGCTGCCTCTCTCAAAGTCCGTGAATTTAGATGTGGATATAAATGCAAAGGGACTGCACTTCTCTGGGACTGACTGGCCCAGGGTACATCATAAAGTCTGGAACAGAGCTGTTTCTCCTCAGCTGCTGCTGTGTTTCGCTGCAGCTTCTCTGGAGTTACATAGCTGTTGGGTGGGTGTCTCTGTTGAGGTTACTGAACCACCGCTTCCACATCCAGAAGCGATCCTTGTCCCTTCAGTGCTGTAAGAAACAGGTGCAATATGGCCTTTTTCCCTTAAGAACGCGGGTGTTAAGGAAAGGAAAAGCTGTGAAAAGCTCTGTTTCAGCCTGAGTTAGATTATCCATCGCATCTGTCCTGCAGAAAGGGAGCTTCGCACAGCACCAAGGCAGAGGCGATGGGGGGAGCAGCAAAGGGCAGGGCGCGCCTCCTCGCGGTGTGTGTTGATGCCCGATGGCATCAGCAGAGACGAGGCTTTGTTGCTCGTGCAGCTCCTGCTCAGCTCCTGTGAGAGCAGCACAGCTGCGGGACGGGCTGCTACGCATTGCGAGCTGTTACCCTTACCAAGTTTTAAAGCAATGCCAGGCTTTAAAAACGCAGTTAGTACATTCTTAGCGGTTTTATTTCGGCCTTCTTTGTCCAAAAGTTGTCATTAAATCTTTCTGCGGGTTCTACAATATACGCGAGGCTGTCAGCTCGCGTTCATCCACCTCCGGGACCCGAGAGCGGCGGCTGGGACCGGTTCCGAGGGTGCGAGGGTGAGCCCGAGGGCTGCCGAGGCTGCAACGGCAGCGGGGCACCTCCGTGAAACCTTCTGGGACAGGGCGGGTCGGAGAGGTGCCCGCGCCGGGGACTAAGTCCTCGGGCGTCCTCTGCCGCGGCGGGGCTTCGCTGGGGAGGGGAGGAGGAAGGGGAGGAGGAAGGGGAGGAGGCGGCCGAGGCGGGCCGCCCCCGGGCGGGGCGTGCTGGGCGCCGGGCAGCCTGCAGCGGGGACGCGCTGTCGGTGCGGGACCGCGGGAGCTCGGCGGCCCCGTCAGCGGAGCCGGGTAGGAGAGCTGCGATCCTTTCTTTTCCGTTTCTCGGTCCTTCCCCGCGTGGGCTGAGCTGAGTGCCGGCCCGGCTGTACTTGGGGGGGCAACGAGAGGAGGTGGGCGCGGGTCGGCGGCACTCACGGCCGCGGTGCTGGGGCTGCCCCCGGGAAAGTCGGGCTCCTGAGAGCGCTGTCTCTTCTCGGAGCTGCGGCGGCTGCAGGCGGGTGGCGTTTCCTACGAAGCCCGGCGGTGCCCATCGTGCGGCTGCCGGCCATGCCTCGCCTCTGCCGCGGCTGCTGCGCGGGGCTTCTCCGTCCCCTCTCGCCACCCCGGGACTACCCGGGGCCTCCCGTTCCTCCCCCTCCCCCCCCACCTCCACCAAAGCACTGCCCTCTTACCCCAGGGCGCCGGCTGGGCGGCCTCACGGTTCCTGTCCCCGGGGAGCTGCGCCTCAGGAGGTGCTCGGAGTCAGAAGCGTCGAGGGGATGCGGCCGCGGAGGCTGATTCGTTCCCGAGGAGCGGCGGGGCAGCGTTCCGGCGGGGCCGGCAGCGGGCGAGGCTCGCATCTCCGCGGTGTTGGTGGGAGTTCACCAGTCAAAAAACACTGCAGCTTTTTTTTCCCTTCGGTGCTTTCCCCGTGTTCTGTCCTGAGCTGTAAGCTCTCTCTCTCTCTTTTTTTTTAATAATACAAAGCATGAGTGTTATCTCGTGTAGCAAGGTGTTTTCTCCTGCTGTAATTAATCACCGCGTTGTTCCCCTCCCATCGAGCACTGAGGCAATGGTGGCTCATGGTATGAGCTGCCCTGAGTGTCAGAGGGACAGACTGCTGGCTGGGTCCTTGCTGGACCAGAGGTATTTTCAGTTTCAGACCATTGTGTTTTACTGGCACGCGTGCTGTGCTGGAGGTTATGGCAGGCAGTGACCCGCTGAAGGCATGAGCGGGCCGGGAGGGGCCTGATAAGAGCAGAGCCGTGTCTGTGTGCGCATACGTGGCCTTGTTTACTTCTTGCAGACATTGACCTGCAAGAGTGCTCAGAAAGCTGCTGAGGTGCTCTGGGCTATGCATTGCCCTCGGGTCAGAATCTACACTGAATGTTTGTATGTGATGTTCCTGTAAACGTTTTCATACATGCAATGCAAAGAGCTGACATTTTATGTCAAGACCATGTAGAAGCTTGTGAGCTCATTGACTTTTGGCAGTAAGGGTGGGTGGGTACCAGAGCTGGGATGCCAGAGAGGAGAAGAAATGGAGAAGGAATAGCTACATGTGTGCAGTTCCCAAGCATGGAAGGAGTCTGGCAGCCCTGGGGTCTGGCTTCTGTTGTTCAGTGTCCTGGTGTAAGGGGTTTCCTCCTTGGCACTGGTGATCTCTAGGGATCCCAGAAATGGTGAGAAGTAGACCCGATCACCACACCACTTTCCAGAAAACTTTAAAATAAAGCACGTAATTTTTGTCAGTGCCTATAGTGTGTGTGTGTATCTTTGAGCAGTTGTGGTTGGCAGCTTTGTCTCAGTGACCTTCCTGGGCTGTGTGTCCCAGCTGTGTCACAACCTCCCCACTGACCTCACACTGCACAGGGGAGGCTCCAGTGGCCGGTCCAAGGATGCCAAGCCCCAGCTGCAGTGAAGCATGTGCTCTGTTAATGCCACCATTTTGAGGAGAAAAACATCTTGACTTTCTTTTGAGCAACGTCAAGCAGCAGCTACTAAGTTCCAAAGTTAATGGAGCCATGAGATACAAGTGCAGTTGATCTTACTAATTTCTTGACTCAACAGCATCCTTGACTGCCATGTCACCCTCATGCAGTTCTTCCTTCCCCATGCAGAGGGGCCTGCACAAATCCTGGCACTTTGCTCCAGAAGCCCACGTGCTGTGTGTGGCAATACCGCTGCCGTCATGCTCAACTCACTCCCGTACTTTCAGTACATCAGGTGCCCAGTTTCAAGGCAAACAGAGCAGTGAGTGCCCAGGTTTCTTTTCCATGCTGTTGAGGAAGATATGTGTTTTTAGGACCTGGGAGTTGTGTTGGCACACTGTGTGCTGGATTCAGTGTCGTTATCAGAAATTTCCTGATCTGGTTGTGAACTTTATGACCTTGTCTGGCAGGCTTCAAATAGAAGACCTTATTTTCTGCTTTGGGCAGTATTTCTTTAATTTGGTAGCGAATTTTAGCAAAACCTTTCAGGCCTGTCCTATGCTGGTCTCATATAAGACAGTCAAGCAGGGTGGCTGGGAGCCTTCCTCTGCAACACCTGGGTGTGAGCAGTGCTGGAAACAGGATGCTTGGCAAAAATGGATCTTGGCTCTGAACCATTGTGGTTTTTCTAATGAAATCTGTTTGCCACCTGCATCTCTCTAGGGTGTGACTCTATTTTAGAGATGTTGTAAATGCATAAACAACCTTCTGACCTTCCTCACTTCCATCTTTTGCTTTATTGCAATTTCCTTCTCTTCCTCTTCATCCTCTCTCACAATCCTGCGTCCTTGCAGACATTCCTTATTGCTGGCTTGAGACGTTACCAATTGACCATTGTTTTGCAGCTAATTCAGACAGGAGGAGGAAAGAGCTTGCCCAGGGAGACAGATGGCCTTCAGGATCTAATGAATAACCCCTAAATATCACGTCAGCTAAGCTCTTATTTCTTTATTTGTAATTTCTGAAGGCATCGCACAACCCTGGTTCCCACCTTGTAAATCCTGAGCATTTGTGAGGGCTCAGCAAAGCTCAGTGCTGGAACATACTTTGCATTCGCTTCTCCGTTTTGTGAACAGAATGGACTTTAATTAAGAAATGTTGAGACTGAAATTCCCCAGAGACGTTGTCATCCAGGAGTTCCATTACCCCTGACAGGTTAGTGCTGTGAGAAAGAGGTTAATTATTATTTTTTCATGGAAGTTTCTCAGATATGAGGAAGTTGTATTTAAATCCTGAGTATTTGGGATTGCATTTTTAATTTATTCTAATCACTGAAAACAACATTGGCACTGAAACTTCAGTGGGAGGGTTGTTTGTTCACTATTATTTTCAGTCTACTTGGCGTAATATGAGAGACTATTAACATAACCAGTCTTGCAGGTGATGGTAAATTCAACAAGCATTACTTCTGCTTGTACAAGATGGCTTTGGTTATTACTAATCTTTCACATAGAAGCCCTAGCTGACAAAAATTCTTTACAGAACTGACCCAACCCTTTGCCAGGAGTTCAGAATGACTTTTTATCTAAAATAAAATGTCTGCCTCCTCTTTAACACAGCAACAAAAAGCAGGGCTTTCATTTCATCTCACAGAAAACATTATGACACCACTGAATTACTGTACAGCAAGTTCTGTCTTACCAGTCTGTCTTAAGACTTAGGATGTGTCTGTGAAATCACAGGGTAATTTTGGTCTTCTGCTTCAGTTAAATGCCTTCCCTCAGCAATATGGCCAGGAGGAAGGTTGTTTGCCACTGTTCCTATGTGTTTACTGTCAGTGTTGAGGTAGCAGCCTGAATCACAGAGGCTAGTCTGAGAATGTAATTAATTCTGGCAAAAAAGATATGTATTTTTCAGACCAACCTGCACTTCTGATCTACCTACAGCTTCCTTTGTGGGGTTACTCACAGCTCTGACATAATATTGTCAACATATATGTGAGTGTTAAATTGCTTTTGAGGCTTTGAAGGGCTCTATTCTTGTTGTTGCAACTATATATTACTTTTGTGCCTGTTGAAATGCAAAGCTGTGTAGTCTTCTGCCTTTTACTGTCTCAAATATGCATTTCCAGGTCGTTTCCAAGCAGGTGTTTGCTGTGTAACAATATTGACTACTGAAGTGGCCTGTGAGCTTAGCAGCTTGTGAAAATAAGCAATAAAACACAAATTCATGAGAAAGCAGCATAATAATGCAAATACAAACCTACTGAGTGAAAGGTTCACGTGAGATAAGTTAGCCTTCTAACAGTCCAAACAGGAGTTACTCGTGTATCTGTAGAAAGGAAGAAGAAAAAAGTCTCTTGTCCCTAAGGCTCCCAGCTTTGTGGGTTTGATGTTCTACAGCTGCTTAAGAACTTTCATCCTCTCTTCCACTTTGCTCTCCTCTAGCACTCTTACCAGTAGCCAGTGTTGTTCCATTAACAATAACTACTTTTCCCTCAATGTCTGGGTGTGGTGGCTGTGTAGCTGTAGCTAAAGGAAATGAGTCCTTGGTTGAGTTACTGGTGTGCGGGCAAGAGATGTGAGAGCATCGCTTCATGCAGTTAGAAACACTCAGCTTGTTTAATAGTGGGAGTGCTGCTCTTCTCGTGGAAACGTACCTTTCAGTGTTGCACTCTGAACAGCTCTTATCCCTGCCTTACTGAACTTTCCCTGGTCTAAACAAAGCTGTGCTGCTATCACTTGGTTCACTTTTTTCTTTGCAGATTTTTATTTTTAGTTCCCCTGAAATCAACCTTCTACCCTTCTTTCAATGCAGATGGGTTTGTGGAGCTTGAAATAAACCATCGTGACAAATACAGTTTCTCCTGAGCTGAACTTGCAGCTCAGAGCAGAGCACGGGGCATACCCGATGAGCAGCAATGCAGTACGTCACCTCCACGTGTCCCTCAGTCATTTTCCTTCCATTTAGAAACACAGAAATGGGAAGCCATGAAAATAGCTGCATATGTCCCTTTCTTTCCACGTGTGCCTGCAATTAAAACACTGCAGATGAGTGAGTAGTAAAAAGGAATGTCTGTTTTTTCCAATCCAAGTAACATTTTGATGGCGAAGAAATTAATAGAGTAGTGAGCTTTCTCATGAATGCTCTACGTGACTTCTGTAGTCCTTCCAAGTTCTTCATTTGCCTGGTTTTGTTTCTTTTTGCAACTTGCACGTGTTACCTACATGCTGCTTGCACTTTGTCTTTGGTGAGGGAGATGAGAGCACGGAAATCCCATTTTTCATGCTCCCCAGCTGCACAGGCAGTATTATAGGTCCACCTGTGCTGGCAGGGTTTTCCTGTTTCAGAAGATTAATTTTGTTGAGTAACTCCAAG